CGAGCCTTCAGACATCCAAAGGCACCACTTACGCGTATACACTCCCAGCTGTCTGCGCTGGCGTGAGCTGTCATTTGGAGCTGATTGGCCGGCCGGCCGTCCCGCGACTGCTGTATGCCGGCCGTCACGGCACTGACCGATGGAGCCGAGTGCACAATGTGTGCGGGCGTGGGCGGGAGACTGAGGGCGGAACCACGCCATGGAGGGACGGACTCTGGACGCTATGCGCGGTAAAGGACCTGAGAGGGTGTGATAATGCTTGGATGGAGTGCCGTCCCGGGATGTGGTGGTCACACGGCGTAATCGTAGCTGTAGAGCAGTGCTAGCGTTACCCCCTATCTATCAGCGTAACCCCTATCAGTTTCTTCACTTGCCGCATCGCATTCAGTAATCAAACTACAGTAAGTCACCAGTCACCAATATGTTGTTCGCTGCAATTTAATGACTTATTGAATTCCTTACGAAGCGCATCAGGGAACTCAGGACATCGTTTCGGGAAACACGCATGTGTGGATGTTTTTACCACAGGTCTCGTGTGTGTGTGTTTGGTTATGCTCGGCTCGTCTGTATCGGCCTCCCGCCCGACTCGGTATGTAATACGCGTTCGGCCTCCGCTGGTGGGGGCGGCTGTTCACACTGACTGCACTCGGTAATGCTATGTTGGTCAGCCCGACGGGCCGATAACGCAGGCCGACGTCGGCCAGCGGTCAGTCAGTCGGCGGCCGGACGGGTCCGGCGCCGCCGCTGGCCCCCATTGTAACCCGGCCGCCGATCGTATTGGCTGTTTGTCGCCGAGTTTCTCATCCTGAGCCGGGTCGGCCGGTACGAGTGGAACTTGATTAAATTGAGAGCGCTCGCCACTAGCAGTTGGCCACAGCTGGGTGGACGGCGGTTGACGGCGGTGCGACGACGGCGTGATACCCGCCCTGTGTCGGCCGTCCGCCAGCGCGGTCGGAACCTGAGGTGGTAGACTGTCCCGCACTGCACCTGCGTAGTGCGGCGCAGCCTGCCGAAACTGAACGGCCGTCTATTCAGCCTACGATCTACATTTAGCGCAGAGACGTTACCGAGTCGCGCGGCGCACGTTTCTCGTCTCCACTGGGGGTCTGCTAATGGGCGCACTGCTGAACGCGCCGGATTTGTGCGGATCTGCGGGCTTGGCGTAACGACTTAAATGATTTTGCAGGGAAATCTCCGGCTAGCAACAGAACCGGCCTACCTCTATGATGAGATCAGTGACCGACCGCTGGCTAGCTGTTTGGGCTGTTGCCCTCTTGCTGCACTAAGACACGGGTGCTGCTATTTTCCGCTGTCCGTTCTCGGCAAGGTCGCCCGGATGGCGTCCTTAATCAACTGCCTGACGCAGTCGGAGCGTCCAAAACACACTCCGTTATCGCAGAGCCACCGCGAGACCTCGCTAGGGCTTCTAATTTTACCATCGTGGGATTTTAATTCGCCATTTTTTATGTGGGAGCAGCTAAAATAGTTGACTTTCTGGCATAGGAGCTCTCGCTTTTACCTCAAAACTTTCGAACTCATGCCCGGAAACGATTTCTGTCTGATCCCTACATGCCTCTTTTCAACTGTCGGTCTTTGCCTAAAACTACTAACTGCGTCTCGTCCAGTGCTGGAAATGAGGCCGCTTTCTGGTCCCGGCGTTTTATTCTCCTCGCGGGTTAATCCCGTCCAGCGTTTAGCCTTTCGGGACCCACTCAGGGTCGCGGTTGTTTTCGCCGCTCGCCCTAGTCGAGATGCAAAGTTAATAGTCACACGAAGCTTATTTAGGGCCAGCCAAACCAGTCTTGTCTGGAGTTACTGTTAAATGTATGCATATAGATGAAAGTAAAAGGTTTTGTAGAATCGATTAATTTTGAAGTCGTATATTCAGAGGCCCCAAATAAACTTCGTGCGACTATCAACTTTGCATCTCAAATGGGCCGAGCGGCGAAAACAACCGCGGCTCTGAGAGGGTCCCGAAAGGCTAAGCGCTAGACGGGGCTAACTCACCCGGAGAATAAAATGCCGGGACCAGAAAGCGGCCTCATTTCCAGCACTGGTCTCGTCCTCCATGGGTCCATACTTGTAAATAAGTAACGAGCATCGAGCTATAGGGATTGTGAGGATGTACTTATGGACGGAAAGAGACTTTCGGCGCGGACAATAGTGCTGCTGTCGTACAGCGAACTCGATGCATAATTACAGGGTGGACCAAAAAGGATGGAAACATTTTAAACTCGTATAAAACATGCAATATTGCATGCAGGTGACTGAAAATGATACCAAACGAGAGTACATTTTGTGGAAATTCATTATGACATCATGCTCAGCTGCTTTCTCTCGTTTTCAGTCTCTCACAGCAAATGTTCAAGGAGACCACCTTTGCGAGACAGGCACAGGTCGGCCCGCCTGGCGGCTGACGCGATAGCCCGACGACACATGTCCTCTGGTATGACTCGCACAGCCTTGGTGATCTCTCTCTCTCTCTTCAGGTCACTAAAGCTTACAGAACCTTCTTTATAGACCTGACCGGTGACCCTTGAGATGACCCTACAGGAAAAAATCCGTAGGGTCAGCCTCAGGTCGGTTGAGCAGACAGGCCAGTTCCACTTCGGTTCGAGGGTGGGAGCGACGTGGCTGACCTACCAAGCGACGCTAAAGAAGTTCTTGAAGTGAGATCAAGCGACGCAGGGCATTATCTTGGACCTCATGTGGTTCCAGCAAGGCGGTGTGTCTCCTCACATAGCAAAACAATGCTCAAGTGGATCGAGAACCACTCTGGTGACCGGCTGATATCCCGCGGTGCCAGTCGGAACTGGCCCGTCTGCTCACTTGACTTGACCCCTATATATTTTTCCTGTAGCGTCATCTCAAGGGCCAGGTCTACAAAGAAGGTCCAGCAAGCTTCTGTGGCCTGAAGAGAGCGATCATCAAGGCTGTGCGAGTCATACCAGAGGACATGTGTCGTCGGGCTATCGGGTTAGTCGTCAGGCGGGCCGCTCTGTGCCTGTCTCGCGAAGGCGGTCTCCTCGAACATCTACTGCGACAGACTGAAAACGAGAGAAAGCAGCTGAGCATGATGTCATTATGAATTTCCACAAAATATACTCTCGTTTGGTATCATTTTCAGTCACCTGCATGCAATATTGCATGTTTTATGCGAGTTTAAAATGTTTCCATCCTTTTTGGCCCACCCTGTATTACGTAAAATCAACAAAACACGCAATTGCTCAATTAGTGTCGATCAATGAAAGGTAATTTAGCTATGCATTGTATTATGATGGGTTGCAGTGAGACGAAAATGTCTCTCTTCAAATCAAGTTCTGAACTAACTGATGCACTCTTCACACTTGATAGCGTAACTGGATGCTGTCCCGAAATTCGCTAAACTCATTGAGGCGCTGCACCGAGCCGCTCAGCTTACCGCTATAGTGCTTACCGCTTAGCACGTGCTGATCCGGCCTGGTCTAGGTGGTCTCGAACTTAGACACGATTTAGCCGGACGGGGCCTGAATATCATTATGAGCCCGGACGTTGTATTTGTCTTGTGCAGCGAGACAGTACCCGATGGCGGTGGCAGACGTGAGACACGTTTTACCAGCAAGATAAAAATACGAAGCAATTTAGGATTTGAATTTCAGACTTTCATGCACTGAGGCCAGTTTTACCAACAGAAAAATAGCCGCCCGCCGGATTTTTTTTTTGCCTAAAGACCGCTTCACATACGGAGCGTAAACGGTAAAGCCCTATCCGCTTACGTGCCCATCACGCTTACGCTCCGTATGTGAAGCGGTCTTAAGGCAAAAAATTCCGGCAGGTGGCTATTTTTCTGTTGGTAAAACTGGCCTCTGAGCTCTTTTCTTATGACTCCCAGAACATTTGAAATATCCAAAGGCGTAAAAAATCCTCATATTTACTTCGCTAACCATTATTATGCATTTTTGTTCAGCTGGCTTACGAGTGGCATATGCTTGCTGTCACATACATGGTCGCATTTTACTTAAAAATGATGTTTACGAAGCTCTCGAACTTTATTCTCTCTTCAGAGGAGTGCGAAATGTCGCATCTTTTAAGAATATTTCAGACTGGCGGTGACGGACGAGTGTGCCGTCATAAATTAGTTCAAGCGTTTCGAAAAGAAATTACCGACGCTTTGCATCTAGTAAATGCTGATATTTCCTTCAGTTCGGATTTATTGACGCTTAGCTCACGGCCTGAACCGGGCGTGGCGGAGTGATTTGCCGAAGTTCCCAGTGATCCGCCAGTTTATTGGACGCTCGATAAGCGGCGCTGTCGTCACCTCGGCTACCAGCGCCGCATTCGTCTGGAGCCGGCGTTGGCAGTCCGAATGAAACCAGCCCTTTAGCAGCGCAGCAAGGCCATTAGGGGTCCGGTCGATTTCTGAATCTTCATACGCTCATGCAACCTTATAATCAAAACGAATTTGAAGAAAATATTGGTTTGAATGACCTGCATTAAAATCAGTTGTTCGTTTTCTTAAGCTGAGTAGGTATTGTGGAAAGCTAATCTGCGGCCTGATTCTTTGGTCCCTCAGTCCAGTCCGCAGTTTCCCGGTCCAAGCCGCAGCCCGGCTCCGGTGCCTGAGCCCAGTCCGCCTTCTCCGTGCCAGGTTACGACATTGAATGCCGCCGCGCCCTCCAATGTCCTCTCAACGCCAGCGTCGCGTTTGGCGTTTGATGCGCGCTGGTTGACGATCGTGGGCGTATTCTGGCGCACTCACCAGGATTAGGTGGAGCGCTCCTTTTCCCCACGGACTGTTTGTGTGGCCGAAGTGAATCGGTTTGATCTCCCGTTGACCCTTGATGACAGAACAAAACGCTCTCAGCTCTTGGGCTGGAAATTGGGGCTTGGTCGTCAATGAGCGCTGGTTTTGGTGTGAAGTATAGTATCGTTTCTGTTTGTGCTCTGCCTTTTTTAATAGCCGCAGAACATTTCGACATCACCCACGTCCGCTCACATTGCCGTCTTCTATGCTGTTACAGCCGTCACAGTCTCGGAGGGCTCCAGCGGTGACAGCGCCAGCAGCGGCGGCGGCGCGGCGCGCTCGCCGGACGCCGACCGCGCCCAGTGCCTGCTCCGCGAGGGTCTGCGGGTGGACGAGCTGGACCGGGCGCTGTGGCGGGCCGACTTCTGCCAGGAGCCGCCCGAGTGTCCGGCGTCGCCGCGCCGCCGCTGGGCCGGCAGCAGCGAGGAGTCGCGCTCCGTCGGCACCCAGACGGGCCTGCTGGCCGCGCGCGCCGCCGGACCGGACACCTTCCGCTGCGAGACGGTGCGACGGGAGGTGAGTAGGGGGCGAGCCGAGGAGTGATCGGTACTTGCTGCTCAGCATTAGGACGAGTGGAGGGTGGTCTAAATGCTTGGAGGGAATGGGTAAAGGGCTCAGCAGTGCTGAACAGGAGGGTTTGAGCCCGGAAGCAGCGGAGCAACGACAATCTGGGGAGAGCTATCGGAGAGGGGCGACAAGACTGAAACTGTAGGAGGGGATGGGTGGGGAAAACAGGACATTGGCCGAGTTTATGATGTTTACCAATTCAGGCAGAGAACCAGGCCAATTTTGCACAACTCATTGCAGCCATTTAAATTTAAATTTTGATAGAATCCTGAGCCGGCCCTTGGGAGAACGGAGGCCAGCCGTGAGATAACTTCAAGTTTATTGTCGAGCTTAATAACTTTGCGTGAATAATGAAGTAGGTTTGTTAGCATATGACCGCTACCCCGGGAGGCCGGCAGCGGCTCTGTGTGCTGGCCAACCGAAATAGACTGCACGGCCGGCACGGAAATTATAATCGGCGTCTCATCAGCGTCGGTCTGGTGAGCTCCGCGCTCCCGGGACGTGTCCCCGGTGCCCCGCCGGCCGGTCCCTGGTTCTCAGAGCTGACACCTCTCCCCTGCTCTGACAGGTGCACTCGGAGGACTCGGAGATCATCCACCACCCGCCGCGGCCGCCGACCGCGCGCCGCTCGGTGGCCTATTTTCTGTCTGTGCGCCGCGGCCCGCTGCGTCTGCCGCCGGCCGAGGAGCCGGGCTGCCGGCGGGTGCTGCCGGCCGTGCGGCTCAGCCAGGAGCTGCTCCGCCAACAGGGCCTGGCCGGCAGCGGGACCGACTCGGCCACCGGCACAGAGTGTGTCCGAGAGGAGGACGCCATGTGCTCGGAGGACGGCCGGCGCGTGTCGGTCACCCAGCGGCGGCCGGCCGGCCCCGTCAGCGCCGCCGAGTGTCTCACCCTGCAGGTCAGTGGCGACTGGCGCAGCGGCCCCACCCCGACACGGTCTGCCACAGGCCGCCCCGGTCTGATCCGACATGGTCAGGCTCGGCCGTGACCGTCTTGGCTCTGCCCGGGGTGCGCCGGGTGGCTCCTAGCTCTCGCACTCGCCACGACTCACTCCGTCCCGGTCTAGCCCAGCCCCTTTTTGCCCCGGCCCGGAGTGCACCGACAGGCACCCAGCTCCCCGCCCGAACCAGACCCTGCTTAAAGTATGGCCCTTCTGCCTCCGTGCTTCATTGAATCGGGTGTCTTACTTGCCAAGTGTGCTGCCCAAACTTTACCGTAGCTCGTCGATATTAAAACCAGCCACTCAAGCGAATGGCTCGATATATGTGATTCTATTCAATATCCAGTCTTGTCGTATGCATCGGTGAGCCGTTTAGGGAAAGTTCCTCTGAAATACCGATGTGGATTTGTTATTCACTGAATGATGAATTGATTTGCTGCTTATTGGCCGATGCGCCTAACTCACGACAAATGATCGGGGCGTGCACTGTACTATATTATATCGCTCAAGAAGCTGATAATGTTGCCATATACCCCTCCCATTTGGCCTCGCTACCACCGGTGTCGGACTCCGCTGCCCTCGGCCGCTCTCGCCCTGCCAAAGTCAGTTGCGGGCTCCCATTGTACCGCTGCTGTCGCCTGTCAGTCCCTTACCCGCTCCGCGTCTGACGGCATACCCACCGCGTCAGTCCCATCAGCCTCCGGGCGATCGTCAGGCGGCGCACGGATCAACGCCGTCATTTCATCGGAATGGTATTGCCACAATAACTTCTTCAAAGGCGGCTGACGACCAGGGATCTATCTGGCTGGCCCGGCGCCTTTCAGACATATCCGCCGCAACCGTTGCCGCCGGCTGTTTTTCTTCTCGAGGGAAGGCTGGCTCGGCGATAGATTTGCCGCTCGCGTCGGTCACACACTAGGCACGGACTGGCTTTGGGCGCTCCGCCAGGTCCGGCCGACTCAGATTAGTGGATTACCGCGGGCTGTCGTTCAGAATTCAAGTATGGAGGAAGGCTCTTCCTTCCTCACACAAAAACTCCTGACTTTGGCCACTGGAGATGGTTGGACAGCCGGGAAGTGGAAGTGAGCGGAATAGGCAATCAGCAGCACACAGATTCGGATGTAGTGGAAACAGAGCCCCAGTTGTCGGCTAATGAGCAAAGTCCGATCCTCTGTGATGCTCTTACCGTTCGGCGTTGTTGTTTAGTACTGCGTTGTCTTACATTAGCATCAGCGATCGCAAAGCAACCAGTTGGCTTATCTGAGCTAACGGGACGTGTGAGTGCATACTCCTCCCCCCTCTACTGGCTTCCAGCGGCGGGGGCCAGGGGACGGCCCCAGCCGGATAGCGGCGGCGGAACAGCCATTCTGCGATCGTATCGGCGCTGTCTCCGTGAATTGAGATGGATGGTCGCAGCCGGGGCCGGTCCCCGGGAGGCGCCGCCGGTCGGCTCTCGGGGGACGGACGTCACTCACAGTGTCCGTCCCCCTCCCCGGCCCGTCGTCTGCCGGAGGTTGGGGCCCTTCGTGTCCTCGTGTTTCGACGTGTAGAGTTGACTGGTGGCGTTGGACGGCTGCACTAGAACACAGTGGATGGCCGTCCGCCACGTGCCGTCCCTGGAATGTGTGCTGGGCACGACGGCACGTCATATAGGCACTGTGGTGTCATCAGACAGCCAACTGGTCGACCTTGTTAGCTGGGTTCTGCTGAGTGCGCTTTCCGGTCTGAATTCTTCTTTGAAGACCTCAACGCTGTACCATCTACGATATTTATGAATTATGAATATTGAGTATGCATCAGTCGTGAATCGTAATGCATGGCTTAGTGCTAAGCAATTTTTTTTCTAACCCCATTGTCTGAGGATTTATTACCGGTAGTTGGATTCGGCGGGTGGTCGTATTGTTATATCAGCATTGTCTTTCACTGAATTATGAGGTTGTTATGCATCATTTAGCCATTAGGCTGGCGCCTACACACCGCGGCAACCCATTCATTTATCGTATTGTTGTTGTTTGTTGGCGGTCGTTCAGTTGGCGTCGGCCGCGGTCGCCGTGCCGACCTCGCCGTCTGCTGGGTAGGTCAAGGCCAGGACGACCGCCCTTACCCGCCCATCGCCGGTTCGGCAGTGTGTGGAACCAACCACCGCTCATCGAGTCTGGGCCATTAGCAGGCGTCTGAGCGACCACTTGGCTGGGTGTAAAAAAGTAACACTATGTCATCATGAGTGTCTATCAGCTATCCCGCCGGGTCCCAAATATAGCAAGTGTCACATTGGTCACCCCGCCGGACCAACCACCACACTCCCATATTCGGTGTCCCAGCGGCTACTCTGCTGTGCCGTGTGTCACCGGTCAGCAGTAACCGGTGGACCCACTGCTGTCACACGGCACACAGCCCTGGGACCGGCGCCGCCTGTAGCCCAGTCGACCGCCACATGACTGCATTAGGTCGACCGTAGTGGGACTCCGACGGCGACACTCAATCCGGCGAGTGCCCGGCCGCCGTCGTCTGTCCGTCCTGATGGCTGGGAGCGACGGCGGGCCCCCGATGGTGGATGGTCGGCGCCGACAGCTCCGCCCTCTGACCCGAGCCCCTGTCGCGTGGGGCTCCGTGGATTACAGAAAACCCGACCCCTACCGCCCGGTTTTCAGTGGTCTCGTCTCAGCCAAGTGCTAGGTACTTAGTGGTTTAATGGTTAGACGTATTAAACGACTAAGTGAAGTGAACCAAGAACAGTTTCAGTCCAGCTCAAACGACATGAACTCCCTCATTACATTTCCCCTACGGCACACTACACTCAATATCGCCGCTTCGGCCCGCCTGTGTAAGATGCATGACCGACCATGAGAGCTACGACTAAGTTAACTTCCTTAGTAATCAGCCCGACGCTGCTGATTAATTATGCAGAAGTCCATGCCATAAGCTGTCGATTCCGCGAATGGCTCGTCTGGCGACCACGGCCTGTCTGGCGCGGATACCGCAGATGAGTTGATCGGCGATGGCCTGTCGGCGTCTCGGTCAGGGCCCGGAACATGTTAGGAGTTATTGAGACCCGCGGATATCGCCGCATCCGGAATCTGACCACTGGCCACAGGCTGGGGTCTCTGTGAACTCTGGAAAGCGATGTTAGCGTTAGGAGAGGATATTTAGCTCCCCACGGTCCACAGATCTTGTGTCCTTTTATGCATGTAATATCCTAATGAGCCACTGAACCACTGAACCACTGAAACTCCTTAGAATAGACCTTAATATTTTGTCCAGCTATAACAAGGCACAATATTTTGTCATATAGGAAGAGCCAGCTGGAACAGCCTTTGCTGGCCGAGGCAATCTTATTTAAAGATAAATTACATTCAATTTCCTTCCTTATTTAACTCAGCCCTTGAAGCATTTAGCTAGTCGTGTGGGCGAGTATGCCATTAGGGTGATTTTATTCAATACACCAAATGGATCCGCGGTCGGGCGATTCGGCGGGACGCGCCGCGCCGGCCGGCCACTTGGTCGGCTCAGCCTGCACTCTAGGCGAGCGCGATACGTGACCAGACTCGAACTGAGAACCGGCAGCGGCACAATGCCGAGAAACACGCCGCTACAGGGAATCGACGCCGAAATATCCACCGTTCGGCAGAGTGCCGCGGGACAGCACGTGTGTGTGCGTGTGTTTGTGCCAGCGGTGGTCTCCCCCGCAGCGCTGTGCCGGTCGGCCGGATGGGCCACGCCGCGTCCCGGTGCCGCAGACAATCTGGGCAGATTGCCGCCGCCGGCCGGCCGCGCCGCCGCTCCTGTCGTAATGGTTATTGAGTTGGCACGCTCCGGACACCGGCGGGACGCTGGCGGCACAGGTCCGCACCGCTGGGACCGACGCTGTGCGGGTCCAACCGGCACCGGGCGGCTGTTGCTCGGGTGGCTGATTGTGTTGATGTGTTTGACTAGAGAGATGTGTGGACCAGGAGCCAACCTCTTTAGGGTCATCGTTATGCCGTCGCGCCACTCCGTCACTGGATTGGAAATCACGCTGGTGCGGTGGAGTGTCTGGTGAGCGTTCGGGACCGATAGTACTCCTGGTGAACTGCAACCCAATGTCCATCTGAACACAGGCGGCGTGTTGCAGCACGGCTGGTCGGCCACCTGCGGATGCAATGGTGCCCCTTGTCGGGCTGTTTGTTTAGCCACCGGTAGAGACCTTTACTGAAATTCAAGGCTGCTTCCCTTTGTTGCTTAGTGGGAAGCTACTCTTTCAAAAAGCTGCGACGATCGGAGGCCAAACAAAAAAAAAAACGCTGTTAGCGTTTTATATTTTTATTTCAAAGTTCTATAAATTTAAGCAATTCCATCAGTTTCATTGATCTCCAAAACTAAAAACTTCCACTCCCCGATTTTCTTCTGATTTCATCAATTTCAGTAACTGACCCAAAATCGAAATCATAAACTAGGGTTTCTTTTCCTCGGCCGTCCTTTTCCCTGTTCTCCGCTAATTTCGGCCCCGTGCGTCCCACTCGCTCGCGCTGGTGGCCGGTCGCCTGAGCCGGGCCCATCGGTCGCCTGAGCGGGGCTACCTGTGCGGACCACCGTGCCGCCCCGAGAAACCGTTCATCACCGCCGGCCACGGTCGCGGCCAGTCGCCGTTTTTACCGTCCTGAACGACTCTGCTCGGGCTGGAGGACTGACAGGGATGGCCCCGTCCGGCTGCTGGTTGATGATGCACGGACAGGCAGCCAACGTCCGGCCGCGGACCTTAGCTCAAAGTCGGACTTAATAGAGGAAAGCCAGAAATGGATGCATTGACAAGCCATACGAGAGTTGTAGATGAAGTCATTCAGTGAAAGCGCTTTCGATACGGCTTCTGGTCATAGCGAGCTTTCGTTTGGAATTCCTATCAGATGTTGCAATACCGAACCATTGCACTTTATTCACCGTTGTTTGAATGTTTACAAGGTAGCAGTACCGTTATTTGAGAGCCGCAACATATAAAGATTGAAATTGAAGATATTGAACGTAATGTGCATTAAAGTTTTGTGCAACGTGCATGAGGTTCTTTGCAATGGGCTCATACTGGTGCTAATTTCTGAATGTTGGCGGCGAAAAAGTAAAGGGACGGCTTTAAATCTACCGGATAATGTGTCTAATTTATCACCATTCACCAGAAATGCGACAAAATTGCTTCGACTTTAAAACTGTGCTGTTAGATGCCGTGCCATTCTAACTCGATTCAGTTTGGGCTCTGTCCTGCTGGGTGTCATTACTCAGCTCAGCTGAGGTCGCGCCCGTCGCCGGAAGGTCAACCAAACATTTATCTTTGCAGCATAAAACGATGCATCGTGCTCTAGTTATGATCAAACTTCGCGCAATGGACGGATTTTTTTATTATAAGAAATTATAAGAAAAGAAGCATTTCCACTTTTTATTGTATCCGTCGCCATATGACGTTGAGCTTTTCGTTACCAAGCGAGCCCACACACTGTAACCCGATCTGGCGTTATTGAGTTTGCATTAAGTTTATTTCAACAGCGTTTTCCTTTTTATCTTAATGCTGTCCCCATTCCTCCATCCCATTTGCAGATTTAATCCTTTCGGTAGTCTATTTTCGTCCGATTCCTTCTCGTCGTATCAATGGGATCGTTCCAATAACACCTTCGACGTTTTCCCAAATGACGTAGGCAAAGGCTCGCCCTGACACCGGGCGGTAGTCGGATTCGCTGAATGGCGCTTCCCTCTTCTTTTTTTCCGGAGAGCAGCAGGAGAGCGTTACTCTGATAGGGGAAAGTGGGGTAAGACGGGCACCTCAACTTTGGAGCCATTTTTCGGCCGGTTAGAAACAGCATAGAAACGGGAAACTGAGTGAAAACATTTTTTTGATACCTAACCCAGTTGTAGAGAGCTCAACTGCTCACTGCTCAGTGCGCAGGCGTCCGGCCGAAGTTCCCTGCCGTGTAGGCTGCGCCGCATGACACGCGTGTACGGCGGTGCAGTCTATCACTTGCGCTGGCGGCCGACCGCGGCTGGCCCCAAGTCGGTCGCTTTTCAGTTTTCTCTGAATCGGGGGGCGGAGCTTTCTATACAGTTGGTGCGGCGACTGCTCCACCAACTTGCCATTTTGCCCCAGCAACTTAGCTCATGTGTAGGACTTTGTTGCTTTACATATCAATTTTTCACATTGACGAACTTTGGAATGTCTGTGTAATGCAAAAGATTAGCTCTGTAATGAAAGGCATTGTCTTAGTTTAGCATCTTATTCAAACTGACAATCGGACATTGTAGACTTGACGCCTTTTTGCCCCACCAACTTCCTTGGGATAGCTCCACCCATGCTCTGAATAGTGAATAACCTAGCGTCGCTCACGATATTCACTCAAATTGTGCTGCTGGTTGCTACGCGCCCCCCCCCCCCCCCCAAGTGCATGCACTTACCAAGTGTTTGAATATACAGGGATATAATCATCTGAATCATCGCATGTGACTGCGATCCCTTTTGATAGCAATTGTTGATGGCAGGTAACGTCGCCAGTCCGTTAGCAGCGTTGGATAGCAGTTTGCTGTTCGATCATATCGCGAATAAAATTATTAAGCTATAGCAGCGCTTCCCTGAATCGTCCACAGGATGGTGGCCTTTGTTTATTGCGTGATCGTTTTGTTCCCAACCCAAGGCCTCGCGAATGATCCTAAAAACTCCTAATTTGTTTTAACTCGGTTCTTAACCTAATAACTTTCGGAAAAGATTCGATTTCCCTATTTTGCCAGAGAATAGTGGGCTGACGAGAATGGGGTTGTGTCGATAGGTCTGTTCCAATAACAGGATACCTCAGCTGAGGTTTCCATATCTCGGCCTGAACTGTCTGCGAGCGGCAGCCTGAAGACGCCGACGTCCATTCTGCTGATAACTTCGGCCGAAGTGGCGGTGCGTTGGGTGACTTCGGGAGATCACCTTGTTTGTGTGCTGGCTTCACCAGTGCCGCCTGTGGACGTGCGGACTAAAAGCGGGTCACCCGCACTTCTCTGACTCTTTCCCTTCTCTCCCATCCTCTCCCATACTCTCTCGGACCTGTCGCGGTCTCCCGTCTCCGCCGACCGTTGATTGTCGTCGACCTGTCGTGTCGCCCTATCCTCCCGTCCACCGAACACCGCCTCCGTCCTCGGCCTGCCGCCGACAGCGCCGCCTCTGCCGCCACTAATGAGCCGCTCCGGCGGCGAGCGGTGACGCTCTGCGGCGTTTGTTGCGCGCGGTGACGAACGGTGGCGCCTCTGGGGACGACCTCCCCCCCCCCCCCGCCGAGACTGCCCGGTCGGCGGAGCCTCGACCCTAGAACAGCGGCTGTTGGGCGGGTCAAGTGGTCCGTGCACTGCCCGGAGTGGACTGGACGCCGCACTAGCCGTGATTTGTTTGGCCGTTGTCCGTGATGTCTGACCAAGGGAGGGTTGTGTGACCTTTCGCCGACGGTCGGCCGCCACTGAGGGGAACGGTATTGGGCCGGTCTGTGTGCATGTCTGCCGGCGGGTCAATGACCCGTGACCCCAAACGCCTGGGAGTTCAATCTTATTGATGTGCCGACGCGACCGGTGTGCCCTTTGGAGCTCCGCCACACCGTCTGTCTGCCCTTGTGGTTTGTCTCAGTGCGTGTTGTTTTACCGTTTGTTGTGTTGACTGTTAACGTTTGCTTTGTCTCCATGCGGTCCGCCCCTGTTAGTTTTCTCAGAGCGTGTGTTGTTCCACCTGACGCTGACGGCTGCTGTGTGTCTGTCCGCAGGAGGCGCTGTGTCGCCGGCGTCCCGACTACATCAGAAACGCCTCCGTGCGGCGCCAGTACCTGCAGCGCCTGGCTGAGCTGCGCCGGTGCAACCTGGAGCGGGCGGCGCGTGCGGCACAGACACTGCCCCAGGTGCCCACAGACGCCGACTGGTGCCACTTCGCCGACGCCCTCCGACCAGAGAGTGAGTCCTAATTGGGCGACAGGAACACACTCGGCCGTACACCGGCGCTAATGACCAATCGATGGCCGCCGATCACCGCTCACAGACAAACACACGGACACAGACGACAGGATGTCTGATGACCACTCACCCACTGACAGACAGATGGGGAGAGAGACTGACAGACCTCCGGCGCTGCGGCGACTGTTACTGGCCTGAAGGACGCACAGAATGGATTCACTGCATTAGTCAGTGCTGTCCATTTTCGCTATCGGAGGACGACCAACTTTGGGACAGAAAACGATCTTCAATTCAAGCAATCACTGTCGAATTCCACAAACTATCGAGCAGACCACTTCCGATAGTGTGTGTGGACAAAGTTTCCTCATGGAAAATTGATAGGAGAATGGAGGAAGTCGGTAGTGGTACTTTAGGTAGCATCTCTTGTTCCGATCGCCAGCTAGTTTGAGAAACGGTGGCATCTGTGTTCGTAATACACGGGATGCAGCTATGTTACGAGGCCCAATCAGCCAGCTTTTCGTTCTAAATTGTTATCTATGGCTTATTGCTGCAATGAGCCTCAATAAGTAATACTATCGTCATGTTAGTCGTCGCTTTTATCACACAGGTTATAAAAGAAAACGTGGATTTTTTTGCCGGTTCCATTGTAGAAAGCTACAGGGTGTTTCACTAAAAGTGTCAAAAAGTAAAAGGTCATAATGCACAGAATAACAATGTATTCTAATGACATTTGCACATCATTTCATCCGCAATTGTTGGACATTTGAATATATAAAAATGATATCACCGTCACTCAAACCTATTCCACATATCCGCCCCTTCTTTTGATGCACCGTTTCGGCACGTGTCCGGAGGTGCTTCACAGCCCGTTTTCATCTTCAGCGTCCAGACTGTCGGCAAAGCCTTGAACTGTACTCTTCAGCTCCCGAAGTGATGCGACTTGAGTCTTCCTCATCTTTGCGAGAGCTACTGACCAAAACTAGAAGGCTAGCGGTGACAGATCGGGGCTTCGCGCTGGCCAGGGGCGGGCTGTGAGGCAGCTGATTATTCGGCCCGGGAACTTCTGGTCCAGCCAGTTCCTGGTGGCTAGTGCTACAGCCGTTACAGTTGTTGTTTTTGATAACTAAGGCCTTGGTTACTTCTGATGTTGAAATTTGTTTCTTGTTATTTCAAAAGGGCATCGAAAAGTCCCTGATCTTTTCAACGGTTTCCGCCGAGAGGGGGAGGGGGGGGGGACCACGCCTTTTTTGGACTGGAACGGGCATCGAAGGAACACGTCTTTTAAACCTTTCAAGAAGAAGCCCTTTGAAACTTTTATAAGTTGGAACGTAGCGAGGTGAGAGAGTAAAACGTTTCCTGAAAAGTCGGCGTACGGTTTCAATGTTTCTGATGACACCAAATTTAAGTGTAATCCAACCCTCTTGTTGCGGTGTAAGTAACCTGTTCTTGATCTGCATAAGAAAAAAAACGACTTGTGACTTTGGCCTCCTGCCGTCGCTCCATTACATATATAAAAATCAAAATGTCCGTATGTATGTATGTATGTATGTACGTATGTATGTGACGCGTCAGTCACGCTTGGCGGGCTATTGCTCGGGAACGGTGCGGGCTACGGAGGTGAAATTTTCGCACCGAGTCGGACGCGTGCATCTGTTTGTTGTATTAACCCGCGCCCCGTAGGGCTACCGGCGGACCCTACCACCCGTAGGGGGGGGGGGGGGGCCGTTTCGGCCCCCCCCTAAGATCTCGGAAAGTTACCGGCCGATTTTCAAAATTCAAACGGCGTTTGATAGCCCTACCCGGGAACTACCTTGTGACCAAATTTCATTGACCTAGGTCAAACCGATGACGTCACAGGTCAGGTCAAAGGTCAGGTTTTCACCGTTCACAGGCAATTCAAGAAATGTGCGGTGAAATCGAGTTAATTGGTAATTTATTGAAAACCATCGATGGTATATTGTTCGTCAAACACATACTTTGCTATCTGAGGTCACTGATACCAGGTCAGGTCACAGCGAGGTCAGGTCACCGGGGGTCACAATATGAATGTGTCGTGTGATACATGTTTTATGGTCCATTTTACATGAAAAATGCGATTATGTGGGTTAGGCAGCCTTTGGGGCCAGCCTAGGTCACGTTTTGGTGAAGGTCAGGTCAAGGTCAGGTCAAATTAGGTCAAATTTCAAAGTTGATATTTTTGCATAAAATGGGTATCCATTCGATGCAGCTCGTCACGGGGAGTCTAATGGTGGTCTTTGTTTTGCTCTACGAGTTCTAGAATTGCCAAAAATTGAGTTTGAAAATTTGACGTCATCATTTTTGAACAGTTTTTTCGCTATAACTTGGCCAAAAAACAAGGTATCGATCTGAAATTCGGTATGTAGATAGAAGACGGTAGGTACTATCACATATATTCCGGTTTTTTCGAAACTCAAAAAACTTTTTGGATTTTTTGGCTAATATATCCAAAAAAATGCTTTTTTGATTTTTGGGGATCAAAACTCAAAAATTTCAAAAATCCGAGATGGCAGTTTTGTAGCCCTGTCAATTCTACACCTTTTATGTCTTGATCATTTTTCTGTATCTTCAAAGCTGTAGGCCTGACAGGTCTTCTCGCGAAGGTCTTTTTTCGATCGAAAATGACAGAACATGACGTCACTCTGACGTCATTTGTGGCCAACCTATCACAGCCTCTGGAAAAATTTTTGGTCACAATGTGTAAAATTGATGCCCGGAGGGGTCCTGAAAGTTTGGTGGCGATATCTCCAGCCGTTTAGGAGATATCGACCGAAAAGGACAGGGGGGGCCGTTTCGGCCCCCCCCCTACGGGGCGCGGGTTAAATTTTGGTGGGGGTGCGCTCGGCGGTTTGCACGTGGCGGGCGCATCTTTGCGGGATTTTAGGCCGCGGCCGTCGCCGATCAGAGAGCACGCGCCTTAGGCTCAGATTGTTCGCTGCGAAAATGAGGGAAAACAGAGTCAGAGGTCGTTGACCTTTGGCAATGAATACCGGAACAGAGCACCGCCGGCCCAGAGGAGTCGCCAAATTTATTCTGGCCATAACTCGGCCACTACTGGGCCGATTTTAATGAAAATTGATCTATTACGCTGCGCGTAATGCTGGACACCTAGTTACATATATAAAAATCAAAAAGTCCGTATGTATGTATGTATGTATGTATGTATGTATGTATGTGACGCGTCAGTCACGCTTGGCGGGCTATTGCTCTGGAATGGTGCGGGATACGGGGGTGAAATTTTCGACGTAAGTCGGACGCGTGCATCTGTTTGTTGTATTAAATTTTGGAGGGGGTGCGTGCAGCGGTGTGCACGTGGCGGGCGCATCTTTGCCGCATTTTGGGCCGCGGCCGGCGCCGAGCAGACGGCACGCGCCTTAGGCTCAGTTTCTTCGCTTGCCAAACTGAGCAAAATCAGAGCCGGAAGGTCACTGACCTTTGGCAATGAATACCGGAGCAGGGCACCGCCGGCCAGGAGGAGACGCCAAATTTATTCTGGCAATAGCTCGGCCGCTACTGGGCCGATTTTATTGAAAATTGATTCATTACGCTGCGCGTAATGTTGTCCCTCTTTACGCTGCGCGTAATGCTGTCCCTCTAGTTTACATATATAAAAATCAAAACGTCCGTATGTATGTATGTATGTATGTATGTGACGCGTCAGTCACGCTTGGCGGGCTATTGCTCCGGAACGGTGCGGGCTACGGGGGTGAAATTTTCGACGCAAGTCGGACGCGTGCATCTGTTTGTCGTATTAAATTTTGGTGGGGGTGCGCTCGGCGGTTTGCACGTGGCGGGCGCATCTTTGCGGGATTTTGGGCCGCGGCCGGCGCCGAGCAGACGGCACGCGCCTTAGGCTCAGTTTCTTCGCTTTCAAAACTGAGGGAAATCAGAGCCGGAAGGTCACTGACCTTTGACAATGAATACCGGAACAGAGCACCGCCGGCCAGGAGGAGACGCCAAATTTATTCTGGCAATAACTCGGCCGCTACTGGGCCGATTTTAATGAAAATTGATTTATTACGCTGCGCGTAATGCTGTCCCTCTAGTTACATATATGAAAATCAAAACGTCCGTATGTATGTATGTATGTATGTGACGCGTCAGTCACGCTTGGCGGGCTATTGCTCTGGAACGGTGCGGGCTACGGGGGTGAAATTTTCGACGCAAGTCGGACGCGTGCATCTGTTTGTTGTATTAAATTTTGGAGGGGGTGCGCTCGCCGGTTTGCACGTGGCGGGCGCATCTTTGCGGGATTTTGGGCCGCGGCCGGTTTCGAGCAGACGGCACGCGCCTTAGGCTCAGTTTCTTCGCTGCAAAACTGGGTGAAATCAGAGCCGGAAGGTCACTGACCTTTGGCAATGAATACCGGAACAGAGCACCGCCGGCCAGGAGGAGACGCAAAATTTATTCTGGCAATAACTCGGCCGCTACTGGGCCGATTTTAATGAAAATTGATTTATTACGCTGCGCGTAATGCTGTCCCTCTAGTTTGAGTATAAAATATATCTTAAATGGACGAAACATAAATGTCCAAAAATTTGCAACAAAGTGACGTGCGCAACCACGTGCTTTGCACATTTCACATATCTTTAATAAGCATGTACTTTTTGACACTTTTAGTGAAACACCCTGGTCATAAACTTGCTTTAGTTTAGGGTTAAGTAAAAAAAGAAAAAAATGCACCCACCAATGCCAGACGTCGTTTTGTGGGCTTGAGGAGTCGGGCATCACAACTGTCGATGTATTTCCGTTTGCACTTCGCGCTGAAAATTATTCTAAAATTAAGATGCTCCACATTGATAATGCACATTTTCATCGGCTGTGCCCCAGGTCCACAGTTCAGCCCTCCCCGTCTGTTCATGGTCATTTTATCGGTTGCCGCCCCAGCTGACGCAATGGCCTCCCACGCTGGCTCAGTAGGTAAGACCCCCGGCTACTTCAGTGGCAATTAATCACCGCTAGGCTGCCTTAGTGGTCGACGC